GACAATACCAGACTATTCTAATAAACCAAAGATAACATGGACGATGCCATGATTATACATAACCACCCGTCATATTGGGCAAACATTTATTCCTTTATTTAATATTAAATAATTATGTTTCAGTTCGACATTACAGATATAAAGTGATGAGCTTGAGAACAATTGTGTCTAAATATAGGATTTGTGGAAGACTTAATGCAGATAAGTCGTCTTAAAAATCTAGACAAGCTTTTGATCATTATTAAAATGTAAATCGAATACGAAGCCCGTAGGAATTGCGTAACTACTTTGCACGATAATCACAATAAAATTTGCTGGGCAAGTAATTCAATAGCCCTATATCACAGTGTAGAAGTTTACCATATACCTGTCTATGAAATAATACACAATGGCCGATATGTAAGTAAACAAGATGACTGTAATGTGTTAGTTATGTATTCCTCACTTCGTCTATACAATACATAAGCAACAGTTTCGTTGCAATAAAGTAGAATTATTTAACAGAATAGTTGTATAGTTGACAAAAACTGAATCCTGCACTGACGCAAATGTCCTATAGCGGCTGCAAGAGGCTTACACTGTTGTTGTATAACTGTTACCTGCAGCCCTTATACAACCTCTTAAATGACTGATTTGTCCTATTAGGTGTACCCATTCCGCTTGTATAGCTGTTCTAAGAGGGTTTTGCCAATGTTCTTATACCAGTATACCAAGCTGTGTAAGTATTACTGTATATTCATTCCTGCAACTCTAATAGGAGTGATAATTGTTAGTTGGGCGGACTTGATTCCTGCCATTGTACTGAAGGTGTGTAGCGGAGCTTGCTCCAGTTCTTTCGCGTCTCTTCCAGATATCTTATGAATCCGGCACCTTCCCAGAAAACTGGAAATTTGCTCATGTCCAACCCATCCCAAAAAAAAAGGATCTAAGATCGACCCTTACAACTACAGACCTATAGCACTGCTTTCTGTTATAAGTAAGGTGATGGAGAGGTGCATAAATCGCGAGCTTCTGGACTACCTCGAGCGTCACAGCTTGATTAGCGGCAGGCAGTATGGTTTCCGGCACCAACGATCCACAGGGGACCTCCTAAGTTACATCACGCAATTGTGGAGTAAACTCATCCAGTCTTATGGTGAGGCTCATGTCATTGCTCTTGACATCACGAAAGCATTCCATCAGCGGTGGCACGCTGCCCTCTTAAGCAAAGTTCAATCCTATGGCCTCCCAGAAAAGCTTTGCAGATGGGTGGCTGACTTTATCTCTGGCCGCAAGATATGCGTCGTAATTGACGGGCTCCCCTCTTCATCCCACAACGTCAATGCGGGTGTTTCCCAGGGATCGCGGTCTTGGCTCCAACACTGTTTCTCTTACATATCAATGACCTCCTTTTGTGCACGATCAACCCAATCCACAGCTTCGCGGATGACAGCACTCTACATGCAGGGATTCAGAGTGACAAGCCGATCTCTGCCGTTCAGCTGGAAAAAAGAAGACTAGCGACGACTTCCTCTCTGACAAGAGACCTGGAGGCTATCACAGCTTGGGGACGCAACAATCTTGTACAGTTCAATGCTTCCAAAACACAGTACTGTACTTTGACGAACAAAAAGCGTCCTAGCCTTCAACCAGTTTCGATGGACGGCCGAGTTCTGCCAAAGAGCCATTCATTTCGGCTGGTCGGAGTCCAGATCACCGAAGGCCTGATCTGGCACGAACACAACTCGTCAATAGCTGCAGCTGCAGGGAAAAAGCTATTCTATTTGTTTAGGGCTAAGAAGTACTTCTCTCCGAATGACCTTCTCACTCTATACAAGGCCCAGATAAGGCCCAGCCTCGAGTATTCCTCACACGTTTGTGGTGCTGCCGCCTCGACTACATTATCCATGTTCGATGCCATCCAGAGAAGGGCGGACCGACTGATCGATGACTCTTGTCTAACAGACAGTCTCGGGACTCCTTCGCACCGGCGGGCTGTCGGCGATCTAGGTGTTTTCTATCGCTACACCAACAGGCTTTGCTCCTCAGAGCTCTTTTCCATGATGCCGCCGCGCGAAGTACCTGCCAGACAGACCCGCCTGACTTTGACGTCCCATCCTAACCGTGTTGAACTTCGTACATCCAGATCTGGCCGATACAACCGCTCCTTTGTCCCTAGGTTGTCGAGATTGTGGAAAAATCTACAAGAGGAAGCTTTTCCCAGTTCTGACACCCTTAGGCAGTTCAAAAATCGTTTTAATAAAATTTCTTTGGGATCATCATAGCAGCCGCGGTGTTCCGGCATTTAGGCCATTCTCGTGTGAACCCAAGCACAAGTTCAAACTTCTTTGGGTATTTTATGTTTACTGTAAGTTAACGATTTTGAGTACGTTATTCCGATAAACATTATTATCATTATTAACCTAAAAATATTTGATGAAGGCACTAGTACTAAGTAGACCAATAACAGACCTTTACGCCACCATGTTTTTTCTCGAATTCACGTGCTCCGGAGAAATTTTAAAATTAAGTTGTTGTCCACTGTTCAGTACCCATAAAAATATTTATCCAAATCAGGTCATTGGAGGAAATATTGAATATATGACTTCTGTAGGGTTTTCTCTAAGGGCAAGAGAAAAATTCAGTGGTTCCCTGCTACCTGCTATCTTAAAAATACATTTCAGAAAGCCGCAACGTAAAACTATACCATGTAAAAAAAATCTTAGAGTATCTTAAGAAACAGCTACCTCTGGCTTTATCCCATGTTATGAGACCTGATCGAAGACTTTTTCATTCGATAGGGGGTGAATACTGTAGTTTATGCTCCTGGGCGCAAACTCTGTTAATCGAAAGATATTTTTGAAGTAATGGATCTAAAGAACATAGTCGAGTTCTTGTAGAATATCTCCCAAACTAGAAAAGAAATTATACGATTTGTGTGAGATGTGACCATTATTCTGGTATTAAATCTTGAAATACTACATAAATCACAGCTTAAAATATCTATTTTTCCATTTGGCCCAGGCCACAAAATTTACGGCTACGGCGCAATTTGCACCAATTGAACAGAAGGATCAATCCTAATAAAATATCTAAATTGATATGACAGCAATTACTGAGCGTTTTATTAAAGATAACAGTGTCACAACTCACCTGATAGAGATGATTTAAAAAAAATAGAAAATACTTTCAACAATCCATCATGTCCATTGAGGTTAGCTACAAACACATATTTCTTCTCTTCATGAGTTTGTATCAGGTCAGTAAAACATTGACTTTGCAGTATAACATTATTTTTTAATACATTCTTTGAAGACATAAATAATATCACAATTAATTAATCCTATAATAATATCGAGTAAACATTTATTTTACTTGACTACTGTACAAAAAGGCCCTGTTTCTTTATAACTACTTTTATGCTTAACATATGTTTAGAGCTAAGCTAGACTTCCAGTGTCTACACAATTTTCGAGATCACAACGTTTCGATCTTCAATCATCACGAAGAATAGTTCACCTGAAGATTGAAGATAACTTAACAATCGAAACGTTGTGATCTCAAAAATTGTATACTCGTAGATTATGGAAGTCCGAAATAGAACTTCTGAAACATCTACGTTGTCTACAAATTTTAAATAATAATTTTCCTGACTTTCGAAATGATACCACCGGTACCCCTACCAGACGATGGACCAGGACAGCTAGCTCTAAACAAGTGTTGAGCATAAAAGTCGTTGAGAAGAAACGGGGTTGTTCGCAGTAGGTAGTAAATTAATATTTACTCGATGTTTGTTAAATGATACGCATTCTGTAATTTTATTTATCTTCAGAGAATTTATCAAGCAGAATTTTGTTCTGCAAAGACAAAAATCAATGATCTAGTTCGACTGACCTTATAGAAACTTATGAAGAGCAGAAAAAGTTTGTATAGCTAACCTCAATGGACATGTTGATGGATTGTGTATCCTTTTTTGTCTAAACTATCTCTTAGGTAACTAGTGACACTGTGATTTTCAGTAACATGCCCAGTAATCAGTCTAGATATTGTATCAGGTTTGATCCATGTTTCGAACAAGGCGCAAATCCTCCTTTTTGGTTAGTCGAATTTTTGCGATAAGGTCGCAAATTTTGATTTTCGCAGGTCAATAGTAAAATCGGGCCTCAGGGACTGCCCACCAGATTTTCCCGCACTTTTCAAGTTTCCAATTGGTAATTCATTTTCATCATCTAATCATAAACAACAATATTTAATGGGTTGCTTTTGTTCCCCGGGGAGACAAGAAATCGCCTATTTTTAACTTACCATCACTTCGCAAAAATCAAGCTATTTATTCAGCGGCCCTCGTCCAAGCATAATATTATGTAACTGGTTACTTGCGGCGGGGGAATGCCCCTGGCGCCAGGCGCATGTTATGTGGGAAATCGTTATCCCCAAGGCATCATTTCTAACTCGCGGTATGCTAGTAAAATGCGTGGCCGTATATACGAGCTGGCAATTTAGATAACTTTTTCACAGCCATGTGCTAAATGATAAGCCACTTGTGGATGACCATGGACATACAAATTGCCGTATGGCTACCACGCAGTGATTTATGATACAGGAAAGTCAAACATGTCCAAGATTTAGGGCTGACACATCTTTCGCATTTTATAATATCAATCCATACATCGGAAATAGGGACTGATTAGTCTATAAAAGCTGAAGGTATTCTTGGCTGATATAAAACAAATGTGAATAACAATAGTAATAATAATATTCTTTATTGGGTTAACCAAAATAAATATGTCACAAATAAAAACAATAAATGAGTCAAATACTTAAAATTTCTAAAAGGGTAAAATTTGAATGTAAAAACCATAACAATCAATCTTATTGCTGCTGTTTGTCAATAATGTAACATTTCAGCCTTTTTACTTCCCACGTGTACAGGCAAGTATCGTCATCGCGAAAAAAATTTAAAATGAGGTATTATATTTTTTTGATGTTATATGACTGTACATCTTGAATAATCATGCCACTCATTTTTGACGAACTATCTGTTTGTCGATCTATCTGTTGGTCCGTCTGTCCGTCAATCCGTGGCCCGTCTATAACTTGAAAAGTAGCGGTTGAAGTTGAAATTTTCAGACAAGGTTTTACCACTATGATGCAGACGAAAAAGCTTTGTAGTTTTTGAAAGTCGGTTAGAGGCGGCGGATAAAAAGGCCCTAAATGAATACAATAAAGATCACTCAAACTTCTTTTTTTGACGTTTCAGAGGATTCCGACAATTTCTGAAGAATGTTTGTAGGGCTTAAAAATTGGAGGATTTAGGCGGTGCTTTGGTTTGGTGTTGTAGGCAGGTGGAGGAGGGTGTATCGCAATTTTCTGATATTAGTATATTAACACACTACCAACCCCGATCATTCTACGCTCCTATTAGATATGTTTCACATATCATAGATTATCCCGTCCTTAAAACTTAGAAGGATATAAAACTGTTTTCGACAAGCGTCCCTCCGCCTGCTGACCAAGGACCGCGGCTGGCGTTCGTATGTGATATTCGCTAGTAGCGCTCTGTGAGCCCTCTGCCTCCAGTGACATATTAAGATTTCAGATATTGGGGAGACTCGGCGCGACGTTGCCAGTTGAACAATATTACGGGTAGGTCGGGGAAATAATGTTATGGACCTGAACGCACCTGCTTGACAGATTTGATCCATGTCTCAATTTCTCTGTTATACATGTTCGTAACTAACTTTTTTCTTAGAAGATTCTACTTCAGCATACAGCTTTCGGACGTCCAACCAAAGATAGCCAACCACAGATATCATTTTCGTGCTTTTTGCTTGATCTCTGGGACAGCGAACGAAAGCATAGCAACTATCCTCTATCCAGGATATGAGGTATATAGCTCTGTCGTATTTCGATAGGGTCTAACTAGTGCTCAACATAATCCTTTATAAACTGATCACGGCGTTGCATGGAAAGTATAAAGTCAACCTACTTCATGTCATTTTCATGAATTGAGACATTAAAAATTTGTAGGCATGCTTTAACGAAACACGTTCTTAGCAGTTTCTCAATTCAAATTGCATATTTTTAAATACGTTAAATAAGTTTTGCATATGGAAATAAAACAACACGGTAGGTAGCTTTAAATGACTTTTGAAGTATTCTCCACGAAGATTAATACACATCTGCATGCGCTCGAACCAATTTTCGAAGCACTTATTCCACTCGTTTGCTGGCAGATCCAAAACGGCATTTTTGAATGCGTCAACTGCTTCTTCTGGTGACTGGAACCTCTGACCACGCAGTCTGTTTTTAATTTTCGGGAAAGTAAAGAAATCTTTAGGACTTAGATCGGGACTATATGGAGGATTGTCCAATAATTCCACGTTTTCTTCCGTTAAATACTGCCTTATTTTTTGGGCTGTGTGCGAGCTTGCATTGTCTTGGTGGAGGATGATTCTTCTTTCGGGGTTGATTTTTCGAAGCTCGGTGATGACTTTTGGCAAACAAATGGTGGTATACCAATCCGCAGTAACAGTTCTTTTTGCTCATTAAGAGGAATTATTGCAATATGACCCGCTTTTGACACAAATGTCGCGACCATCTTTGTCGAAACACTTCGAGAGAGACTTTTGTTGGCTTTTCTTCATCTTGGAACACCTAAACAGCCGACGGTCGTTTATTTTCTGGTTCATAACAGTAAATCCACGATTCATCACCAATAACAATGCTGTACACATTTTTTGAGCTTCCGGAATTGAAACGGTCAAGCGTTTTTTGACACCAATTAACCCAGGCTGCTTTCTGCTCTTCAGTCAACAGGTGATGGGTTTGCGCACAGCATCGACGTTTTCCTGGGTGACTGCCGTTTTTGGTGCACCCACCCTGGGATCGTCGCTAAGACTCACCCGTCCACGTTTGAATTCTCCGTACCAACGGGAAATTGTCGACTGATGTGGCGCTTCGTTGCCGAAAGCAGACAGTAACTCAGCAAGGCATTCTTGTTGCAATAATTGTCTCTGAAAGTTGTAATAAATTCTGGCGCGAAAATGTTCTCGGTTGAGTTCCATTTTTCTAATGACTTGGTGACACTTAAAAATTCAGTGTAGTGAGAACACTGTACGTGTTGTTGTGAAACTTTGAATTTAAGTTTACTAAAGAGTGAGGTTAAGATTCAGTACTGACGTACGATCCGCGCGGCCTACAATGTTTTTATATGCAAAACTTAAAAGACATCCCTCGTATCAGGCTGCGTAGCTAGACAGACTCTCGAGGTTATATTTTTCAGCTATTTGGTAGCTGATGCTACGTTCATGTAAAGAAGCTGCGTATGTCTAGGAGGAGTGATAAGGACTGCGGATCCAATATTAATTTTGTTAAGGTCTGTCCGAAATTTATTTTTTTGTATGTGTGAAGCCTCTTTTGGGAAACTATTTAGTTTCTGAAAAAATTTCTGAGACGTGATCATATTTTTTCATTAAACATGCTGCTTTCATGCGTCCGACCTCAGACAGTCAACCACAGACAGCGGTTTCATGCTTTTTGACTACTCATCAGTATGATGCAGGCTTGGCTCTCGGATAACAAACAAAATCATAGCACACTGAGAAAACGTGGTTAATTAAGTAGTTTTTCTGGAAAATTTTCATTACCCGTAATGATTTTTTTCATTATTCTAGGTAACTACGAGTAAATTATTCAGTTTAATTAAACCGAACTTTCTGGAATCAGCTTAACTGAAAGAAATATACTACATATAAACTAATTTGATTCGAAATGCAGATAATCAATCTGTTTTATTAAACTATTTAATCAGTTTGGGTAATTTAGTTTATGTGAAAAAAGTTAAAACAAAATTAAAACAATTAAACGTTTTAATGAAAACAGTTAAACTGTTTATTTGAATCGCTGAATCGGCAGGGCTCGGCACTTCATTTATGAATGATCGGGAGTATGTGACAGGCGTGTGACGAACTCCTCAGTTTCAATTGTGATTTTTGTGACTAGCTTCATATCAGAATGTTGCCTTTGTTGATGTAGTATCTGAGTGTATCTGTAAATATCCAGGCATAAGGTGCTTAGTGAAATATAACGATGGTTGGAATATTTCTCGCTCCCAATGGATCACTCTGTGCAGGGGGTCACTGTTGACGTGATGGAATGAGAAGAGTTTTAAATATTTTTATGTGGCCATATTTAGGTTAATGAATGGTATCTATACCAAACATGTGCTCAACATAGGTTTGGTGTACTATCCTTTAAGAAACAATTCTAAGATATGCCTTTTATTAAACTGGAAATCCATACATAGACATTGGTGTATCAACTTTAATGCAATACTTTGATTAAATGTCCCGATGACTGAATTCACCCCCCTTTCCATTTAAGATTTTGGGGGTGGTGTCACCCCCGCTTAGGGGACTGCACGTGCTAACGTGTTTTTTTGCCAAACGTATGTCCCCCTCGAAAACAAAATCGACGGGTCTGATAATTTTTCCAAAAAAAAACTGAGCTGCCAGTAAATGCGTCTGTTTCGTTTTCGATGCGCCACCCTGTATAATGCTTAGCATAGGTATGTAGGAAGTAAAGCTTCTAGTTGGTGCAGACTTTATAGTATTTGAATATATCCTAGTTTGTTTAAACTGATGTCAAATCAATTATTTATATAATGTTAGTGCGTTGAATGCGCGTTGAAGCACAATATTGTTTTACTCTTAGAAATAAAAGTGCAATTTTTGTACACATGAGCAAGTGGCCTCATTCAATTTCAGGTATCCTTTTGCATATCCTCTGAATGAAATGTATAGTTTTTAGTGAATGCTTATATATTATAACCTGTTTCTGGACAATCAGACAAAACTTGATCTCATATATTATCACAATCAATGAAAATAAAAAATATCGAATTTTGTCAAGGTTACAAAATTTTGATTTTTAATTTTGATTCGAAAATATGGTTGCTGAACCAATATCAATTTTTTGATATCTTAGATTTGTGAGAGAACAGTTATAATATACATAGTTCACTAGAATGCTATTTGTTCTTTAAAATCCTAAATGCTATAAAAATATACTTTCAAGTCTAAATAAAATAATTCATTGAAATTAGGCAAATAGTTTTACTTCGACTAATTGAACAAATTCAATAAATACACTTAACTGTTTTTACTTGGAGCTGGAAGCTCATCATAATAGCTTATTAACCTTAAATAAATGGGTGAACTCGATCTATGTAAACGGTTTAATAAATTTAATTAAACGACTGTGTTTTGATTTAATTAGATAGTTTAATAGATTCTAGTAAACAGTTTTAGAAATCGGAGTTTAATTAAACCAACGAAACTTGTTAGCTGTCACATAGTTAATTCAATTTTCTAATGGGCTCAATAGAAATTTTAGTTGGTTTAATTAATGGTTCTCTAATTGCAACTATACACTATCAAAAGCGTGAAATCTATCGAAATAAGTCAGCGCGAAGCAATATCCGCAACTAGAATCGATCACTGCGAGCAGAGAATAGCAGCTACCACGTAACTGCTAGATGGAGACGAATTTAGCTGTGTAGTATCGGTCAAGTGGTGGCTGCCCAACTAACAATTATCGCTCCTATTAGAGTTGCAAGAATGATTATACAGTATTCCTTAAACAGCATCGTATACTGTAAGAACATTGGCAAAACCCTCTTAGAACTGTTACACAAGCGGAATGGGCACACCTGATAGGACACTTCATTCATTTAAGGGGTTGTAAAGGGGTGCAGGTAACAGTTATACAACAAAAGTGTAAGCCTCTTGCAGCCGCTGTAGGACATTTGCGTCAGTGCAAGATTCAGTTTTTGTCAACTATACAACTATTCTGTTACGTGATTCTACTTTATTGCAATCAAACTATTTCTTATGTATTGTATAGACGAAGAAGAATATATAATTAACACATTACAGTCATATTGTTTACTCACATATCGGCCATTGTCAATTTAATACACAGGTATATGATAAACTTCTACACTGTTATATAGGGCTATTGAATTACTTGCGCAGCAAATTTTATTGTGATTATCGTGCAAATTAGTTACGCAATTTCTACGCGCTTCGTATTTGATTCATATTTTGATAATGATCAAAAGTATGTCTAGATTTTTAAGATGGAAAACTGAACTTATCTGCGTTAAATCTTCAACAAATCCTACATTTAGACACAATTACACTAATATTTATCACTTTATATCTGTAATTTCAGACTGAAACATAATTATTTAATATTAAATAGAGGAATAAATGTTTGCCCAATATGGCGGGTGGTTGTGTATAATCATGGCATCGTCCGTGTTGTCTTTAGGTTATTAGAATATTTATTTATTTAAATGAAATACCGACAGCGTCGAATAATTTACCCAGAATTTGTATCAGATCTATATCTTCTGTTTGAACAGTTGATAAAACATTTTGAACCAATATGCATGCGTTGTTTGTCTTAAAACGTTGGTTATGGCATTTTAACAAAAATATGACAGCAGAAAGTTAGGTTATGGTGAAGTTGTATACCAACATATTTAGCATATGTAAGCCTTTAACAGTTACTAAACAACAGTTGTATAAGTGCTTCCGTTGGGAGCAATTTGTTGCCTAAAGTAGTAAATTTGCACAGCAAAACAACAAGGCTTTTTTGTAAACGTTACCATGGATGCCATAGCACAACCATTTTGACTAACGTGCAAATATGCCGTATAAAATAGTTGTATAAACGTTTATGCAACAGTTAAAAATTTGCCCTAAAAGGTGTTGTTTAACTATGCTATAAGAATATTTTGAACACCTCACTTTAGAGCAAATATGTTGCAGACAGCAAATTTGCATTCCACACAACACTAAGCCAGCATTTTGGTGTTCAGGCAACAACAATAAAGAGCTTTTATGGCTGAACGGTTCCTTTACCAATAGCTTATACCACTACTTTGCTAGTTGGGTGGACCTCCATTTTGCGGACTGAGATCTATACAGTCCCAACCTGTAGCTGCTATTCACTGTGTTCACAAGGATCGTTTCTAGTGGCAGATAGATCTCATAATATGTTCTCATGTTATGGATAAACACAACAATTTTGAACAGTTTGGATTTTTCGAAGACTACCCATCGAAACAGCTACGGAATATAGGAAAAAGGTACGAAAACTGTGATCGAGCAAGTAAATTTATAATTTTCATGATTTAGATATTTTCGGTGAGTATAAAGGGTTCTGAGAGAAGAATATGCATTATTTGTAGCCACAAGCACTTGATACTTTCACTGGACTTGAAATCACTCTGTATATTTTAATACGTTCAAAGAATCACTAGATTCATCTAATTAATTTCTCAAAGCATTACATCACTGATGTTGCTAAAATACAGCCAACATACATTAACCTACATCTAAAACGCAATAAATAAAAGCTCAAAAGCGATTCGATTCTACTCACCGTATAAACAGCAAGGAAGGTGATAAAGCTTTTTGTCAGCCACATTTTCAACTGTCTGTTTGCACACACTTTTCCTCGGTTGTACGAGAACTCGACAACTCACTCAAATGTTCGCACTTTACAATCACGAGTCAACATTTTTTACAGTTATAGAAGACGGACCACACGCGAAAAGGTTGTTTCAGTGACACATTTATTGTCTGTGAATGTTTGGACAAAGGCAGCTAATGGCTTCGGTATACGATTGTAAGCAAACAGTTTCGTTACATTCTTGAGATGACTGGCCTCTAAACAAAATACTGATAGTTAAAATAACATCTGGAGCTTATCCTGTGGTTTTCACACCGGCAGAACTCCGCTCGTTAAATTGCTTTCACCACGGTGGCCGAAACGTTAGGAAAAAGAAGGAATTCAAACACACGTGGACTTAACCAAGCATGCTGCTTCGACCAAAGAGACCCATCGTGGACAACTGTTTCGTGCTTTTTGACTACTCATCGGCATGGTCTAGAGTCTAGACTTTGTCTCAAGTGGGCAACGAAAGCAAGCGTAGTAATTATCCTCTATCCAATATAAGAGACCTATCGGAATATGATGACGCATAGCGCCATCTATTATCAGAATCGGCCAATGCGAGAGTAACGTATATATCAGCTATCGGTTGGAACTGCAAGGCTCTCAGTTCGCCTTTTATAGTCCAGTCACCATTGTGACCGATAGAGGCTAACAATTCTGGCCTCCATTAACAACATGCTGCTTTCTTCCCACTCATAATTCTGTGCTTTTTGGCAACTTGTTAGCATGGTCTAGGCTTGGTCCCAGGAACCACGAATGAAAACATAGCAACTATCCTCTATCCAAGGTACCCACAGGACACTCGCAGTGGTCGGTTCTGGTAATAGATCGCGCTTCGCGCTGTCTTATCTCGATGTATGTGGTCTCATTTACCGGTCAGACAACAATGGAATCCTAAAATACTGGTATTCCATCTGTTATAAAGGGCATGTTTTAGAGCGTTAGAACTTAAGGCGAAATAGGAGAATCCAGAAGTAATTTCGCGCAGTGCCTCGCCAGGCTTAAAATACAGACAGACAGACGGACAAATTTGGTTATATCTAAGTGAAAAGCTGATGCATCGAGATAAAAAAGCAAGCAGATTATATTCTTAAAAAGTTCCCATTTTCATCGTTCTATCATTTTCATTTTGAGGGTTTCTAAAAAATTGAAAACGTCTGTATACGATGTACAACTATTCAATATTTGTAGTGTTATTGCAAATGATCCAAAGTAATAATGTTCTAATCCATCTTTTCTAGTAAGTGCTACAACCGTACGATTTGTAAGTGGAAAGTATGTTACTAAGTCGACCTACACGACAACATTCTTACTTTCCACGCCAATGACAAAGAAGTATTGTAATTGTGAAAAGAAAACAACAACAACATTTCTTGATGTTACATGACATGTACATCATGAAAAACCATCCTACTCATTTCCATCGCTCTGAATGTCAGTCTGGTGGTCTATCGGTCTGCCCACAAATCTTTTATCCCTCGAGGTAACATATATACCAAGGAAGATCGATCCCGTTGTAGCAGAGCTGCGGGCGATAAAAAATTTCCCTAACTTCACTTTTTGACGTTTTAGGGGGTCCTAATCATTCTCAAAAAGAAATTTGTACGGGCTAAGCATTAGTGGCTGGGAATTCTAGGAGGTGGTATATCAGAATTTTTTGGCGTTAGTTTATTTATACAGGTCCAAACCTTGGCATATTTCACGGATCATATATTTCCCCGCTATATTTGCCCTTAAAACTTATATAAATATAAAAATAAGTATAAATAATAGAGAAATATTGCCAGTGCATGCTTCTCTGGATATATCTGCGCCGCGGCCTGGCCGAGGGGTGGCTGGCAAGTAGCGAGGTTAGTCATAGCAACCTTGCCAAATGGTTGTTAATGTTGGTAGGGAAAGGTTGTCAAATGGGTGCAGACTATGGACTAATTATATGAGCCTGTTTGGCTGACTTAATCCAATTGATTTTTTTGTTAGACATGTTCGTTAGCTAACTTTTTCAGAGGGGCTAACTTGTGCGGATCATAATCTTTTATGAACTCATTACACGGTTGCAGACTCAACCTACTTGACGCCATCTTCTCAATTGTCAAATGAATTCAATTTTAATTTGTAAGGTACCCAGCCATAGGAGATTTCGACTATTATGGAGCATATTGACTAGTAGACAAGAAGCTGTAAAATCACTAAGGTCTGAAAGCACATCTCGATTAACATAAACATTGTGTAGAGAATGAATAGGATAATCACCGAAACGAGTTACTAAAGTAATAAATTACTAAAAACATTCCAAAGCTAACAAAGCATCATTCATTGTCGTCATACACGTTAGTTTCGGTCCTGAACATTTACGTTACGAATCCACCAAAAGATCAAAACAATCGAACTTATGATGCATGCTCTGTTGTTTACATGACGTCAATTTGTTTTACCATATACTTTGCCAATTTCACATAATATGGGGTTTTCTAAATCAATGCTCAACCCTATGCTGTATGTTCTAATACAATTTCCATCGACGCAGCCATGTGCCCAAATAGGATACCATTAATTCCTTTAGAATTAATAAAGACGGATTCCATTTGCCTTATGAAAATGTTATAGGGGTGAATGGTTAGACAGACACATAAGCAATAAACATGCCATATGACAACAACAACGCCGTCATCAGATGTTCATAAAACATGTTCGGCATACGTGTAAATAATTATAACAAAAGAATTCAATGGATCAAGTCAGCCAAATAGGCCTATGCAATTAGTCTTCAGCAGCAGGTCATGCCCAGCTGAAAATGTAACTACCTCATAAAATTCGCATATACAGAGTGTTTAAAAGTCGACCCTTACCATTGGCATCTTGGAAACTGTAAGAGATGCGCAGTCGCTTAAATCACGGCAAAGTTGTGTATTTTCATAATTAACAAAGTCAAGCTTAGAAAGTTTCGTAGAGACGGAGAAACTCAATTTTCCTAAAATCATTTTGATTTTTTCCTGACTTAATTTGTAGTGATTTTAGTTAAAAATGCACATTGATTGTCAATTTTTCTCCTCGACAAAATGATATAATTAGAATTATAAAGTCGTTTCATCTCTTGTCATCGAGCATTAAGTTTATTTTTTCAGATGGTTCTTATTGAATTTTTGCACAGATAAATAGAGTACCTAATTCTGAGTCCAAAAATGTATGATACGTAACAGATTGTCATTGACAAGCTTAGTTATTTCAAAAAAGCAGAATTTCCTAGGTAGGACTTGAAATTATCAGTCATTTGTTTGGCATATCAGATTTATCCCAAAATCATTTTTACCTAACCTGACTTTATTTGAGATGGGATTTAGCATGTTGTGATTGCTACTTATTCCGACTTCCATCGCCAACTTCGTTTTTCCATATGGACGCTATATTGGAATTTTGTACATTTCAAAGGACTTTTCAGTCCTAGATTTAGTGTTTTAGTTGGCAATACATTTATTTGTGAACCTGTGAACCCTGCACACAAAATAAAAGTTTTATTGATGCTAATAATAATAATAATCATAAATCAGCAGAGGTAAATCACAGAGATGTTCAAAATGTCACTTATTTTGTAGGCAAAGCCCGTTCACCGCTCGATTCATTTCTCTTCTTCCCAATCTTTCGAAGTCTGTCGCTATGTTCAACTTTTACGAAACAAATGCAATCTGATAATTTCAAGGCCTACCTCAGAACTAAAATACAATTTATTTTGGAATCCCGCTAAAAATTAAAAGTACTTTGGGAAAATTCGTTTTTTCTGTCTCTCTCCGGAAGTACTTTGAATTTCGGAACTGTCTAAGCGGCACTTTTTTGGCTAAATAGGGAACACTTTCCCCCTTTTGAGCAACTTCGTATCTCTTAACGATTTCGAGATCTCTATAGTGATGGTCCGATTTGAAACACCCGGTACAGTATAGTTTTTTGTACCATGTCAATATTTTTGGGAAATGGTTCCCCCTAAGAAATTTTGCTACCTTCTGATCTTCAACCAGTTTCCTCTTGCCAATGTTTAATTGCCAAGTAGACAAAAATTTGAGTGGGCGCCCATCGCTGAGCAGTAAGCTTTCCAGCCTATGCGTCAACGGTCAACAGGTCTCCGGACCCAGATTCCTTCGCTACAAGATCTAATCTTTGCGCAAAATGTTTCTAATATGTGTATACAACTACCGGGTTAGAAGCGTATGAATTTACTACCACCCAACAATTCCCGATCCCAGCACTCCACAAGCCCAACCCCCATTTTCCTTAACACTCAAGAACATGAGCAGGGGCATCTGAAACGCCAAAAAGCGCAGTTTGAGCGAATTTTATTGTTTTAGACTTTTGGCCCTAGTTCCCCATCTACTGGATCGATTTTCAAAACTACCTAAGCTTTTTTGCCGTTTCATCGAAATCTGAGTGGTACTTTCCACGTTACAAGAGGGCTCACGGATTAGCTGGGAGACAGTCACACACAACTACCGATGCAAATGAGAGATATGGTTTTTCAAACTGTAAGGTCCCCTACATCCAAAAACATAATTATCACATTTCCGAAAATTTTCAATCACTTAAGTAAAGCTTTCAATCATCAGAAACTTTCAAATACAGTTGTCCAAAGAAATCAATTAACACGATGTGAACCCGCTTTCCTTCGGCATCACCTCCTAACCGTGTATAACTTTGTACATACAGAACTGGCCAATACGACCGCTCCTTTGTTCCGAGGGTATCGAGATGGTATAGCAAGCTTCCGGAGGAGGCTTTTCCAAGTTCTACTAACCTTGACGAGTTAACAAATCTTATTAAAAAAGTTTATTTAAGCTCCTCATACCAGCCGAGGTGACCTGGTATTTAGATTTCTGCTTACGTGTTGTGTTGCCCAGCTTCATAAACTAAACTGATCTGGTTCCATTTGTAACTACTAGAAACTCTTGTTCAAAGGAAACTAATACTTTCTCGCCAGTAGCGCGCGAAGTAAAAACATAACTCATTTCCGATTGCGATACTTACTCGCCAATTGGCGTGGAGAGTAAAACTAACCCTGATCAATATCGCATTGATCGGACACTGACTTTGTTGAAAGCTGGTAGGTATATCTTTACAGGAAGACTTTTAATCGTCTCACAAAATAACTGCGGTAGAGATGCGGTGATACTACATCTGATG